CTTCCCTTCCCTTCCCTTCCCTTCCCTTCCCTTCCCTTCCCTTCCGGAAAAGGGACATTTAAAAGTGAGAAAAGCTGGGCAAAAGGAGATAAAAATACCTCTGTGGGTTCTAGGGGAAGGACAGATGAAGCCATGACAGTCACAGATGGATTAATTCAAAAAAGGAGGATTTGGGAGGAGGAAATCCCAGAGATGTGGGCACAGCAGAGCTTGGCTCAGCCTGCCCCCACACTGGCTGGCAGAGCACAGGAATTTTCTCTCTCCTTTAATATTTCATACTTTAAATTCCCTGATCCCTCTGTCTGCTCTCCCCAGGGCAAAGGGAGAAGCCAGGGGAGACCTTGGAGAGCTCCAGCCGAGGGCTGAGGTCTGGGGCTCACCCCAGGAGCTCCAGCTGGGGACAGAACTTCACATAAAAGTGCATTTTCTTCCACCCAGGGCCATCAAATCACTTCCAGAGAGTGAATGGATCCAAAAGGAAAAGCACAGGAAGGTAACTGGGGGTTCAAAGTGAGCCAGGATCCTCACAGAGAGCAGCTCCCGTTAATCCTGGGGGCTGTGACTGCTTCACCTCCCTTCCCTCAAGGCTTTTGAAGAACCCTGGTCAAAAAGCAGTCACAAAGTGGGGGGAAAAGAGATATTTAAAAGTGGGAAAAGCTGGGAAAAGCCATGGAAGGAGGGAAAAGAAGTGCCACAGTCGGTGTGAGTGTGCAGCAGGAGGGATGTGCAGCCCTGGGTGCTCTCTGCTCCTCTCTGCCCCAATTCCCAGCAGAACTAAAATGAGCAAAGATTTGTCAGAGCCATCATCTCCCACTGCACACCAGCTCCTCCAGCTTCCTAAGGGTCTGGAATGTTTCTTGGGAATTACTTTTCTTCTAGTGAAATGGGAAATGTCCCAGCCCCGATTCTCCATTGTCATTCCACAGTGTGCAAAGGCTCTTTGTTTGATCAGGAAAACGGGTGTAGGAGGAGCAGGGATCAATCAAGGCAAAATTCATGGGCAGGGAAAATCCTGCCCTCCCTTTCCAGCTGTAAAAAAACCCAGGTTTCATCATAGCTTGTTTTCCCCAAGTTCCTCTGAAAGCAAAAATCTGAGAAAACTGGGAATAAACCATCTCTTTCCTCAGCCAGGAGATGCCAGCAGACCTGAGCACGAGGGGTTCGCCTAAGGACATGGCACTGCCTGAGGTCACCAGCTGTGCCTCAGGGGTGGCACCAAGAATCTCACTGGAGCAGGGATTTCCCATTCCATATTCCATATTCCACACTCCACATTCTGTATTCCATATTCCCACATTCCATATTCCACATTCCATATTCCATATTTCACAATCCACATTCCCATATTCCATATTCCACATTGCACATTCCACATTGCACCTTCCACATTCCACATTCCATATTCCACATTCCATATTCCATATTCCCTGCATTCCACATTGCACCTTCCACATTCCACATTTCATATTTCACAATCCACATTCCACAGTCCATATTCCACATTCCCAAAATCCATATTCCACATTCCATATTTCATATTCCACATTTCCACATTCCAGATTCATATTCCCTGTTCCACATTCCACATTCCATATTTCATATTCCACATTTCCACATTCCATATTCCATATTCCCTGTTCCACATTCCATATTCCATATTTCCTGTTCCACATTCCACATTCCATATTTCATATTCCACATTTCCACATTCCATATTCCATATTCCCTATTCCACATTCCATATTCCACATTTCACATTCCACATTCCCTATTCCACATTCCACATTTCCAAATTCATTCCCCATTCCACATTCCCCATTCCAGCAGTGCCCAGCTGAGCTCAGAGCTGGACTCTGGGGTGATTTCTGGGTTCTTTGGCCCATCCCATCCTCCCTCCAGGGCACCTCTGGGCTCGGGCTCAGGGCTGGACGGGCTGCTGGGCACTCCTAAATCAACTCACACCCCAGAGTGAACAATAATCCCGGTTTTTGCTGGGAAAGGGATCCAAGCCCTCCCTGGCAGCTCCCTGCAGTGCCCAGGCTGCCTTACCCCCTTGTCGATGGTGTTGGTTTGGCAGATGGTGCCCTCGGCCGCGGGGATGCTGTTGGTGATGCAGCGGTTGCTCTTGCTCAGGCACCACAGCTCGCTGCACACTTCCTGCAGAGAGGGAGATTTGGGGGCACACAGGGGCAGGGAGGAGAGAGAAACCAAACCCAGATCAGGATTTGCTGTGCCAGGGGCAGCGTCAGGTCCTGGAGGCACCAGCGGGGTGGGACAGGGGACAGGGGACACGGAGTGTCCTCAGCATGTTGGGGACAACGTCAGCTCAAACCCTGCCAGCTGCACTCACCCCAAGGCCACTGAGAGCTGTCCCCCTCCTCTGGGCTCAGCCTAAACACTGGGATTCCCTAAGCTCAGCCTAAATACTGGGATTCCCTAAGCTCAGCCTAAATACTGGGATTCCCTGGGCTCAGCCTAAGCACTGGGATTCCCTGAGCTCAGCCTAAGCACTGGGATTCCCTGGGCTCAGCCTAAGCACCTCTGGGGCTCCCTGGAGGTTCCCTGTGCCTCAGGGGTCACCTCTCCTTGGGCACCTTGGTGACACCTGAGCCAATCCCACTGTCCTTGTCCTCACCCCTCTTCCCAGGGATGTTCCCAGTTCTTCATCAGGCCGAGCCCATTCCTGGCTCCTGCCACGAGCATCCCAAAGCCAGGTGGATCCAGAGCTGCCTCTGGGGCTCCCTATGAGCATCCAGGGCACAGCTGGAATGTCCCTGCTCACAGTGACACACCAGGGTCCTGGCCATCACCAGCCAGCCTAAGAATCCCAAAGATTCCTCTGGAATTTTTAGAGCTATAATATAATAAATATTATAATACAATAATATATATAATATATAATATATAATATATAATATATAATATATAATATATAATATATAATACATAATATATAATATATAATACATAATATATAATATATAATAGACAATATATTAAATAGGAAATACATTATATATTATATATTAAATATTATAAATATGATAAGTATAATAAATAGACAAAATAAATAGGATACATTATATATTATATATTAAATATTATAAATATGATAAGTATAATAAATATAATAAATACAATAAATACAATAAATATAATAAAATAATGCCAGGTACTAAAACAGCCCTTACAGAACTGGGCACCTCTCAGTGTCTGCTCAGTGCAGTTGTGTCCACTGGGTGACTCCAGACCTCTTTCCAGGAGTTTTCCTGGGCCACAGATCCTGAGCTTCAGCCAATCCTGACCTCTCAGAGCTCCAGCAAACAAAAATCTTCCCTTGACTGTCTCAGGACCCACCCAAAAGTGAAATCAGAAAGTCCAGGCCCTTCCCATCTCCTGTGGCACTCAATCACCTGTGAACTGCAAAGTGACCCCTAAAATCTCATTTCCTGAGTTTCCTGCCTCATCCCCATCCTGCTCCTGCTCCTACTGAAACAACCCATGGAAATCTCGCTGTTTTTCAGGAGCAGCTTGCCATGGCTGAGGTTATCCAAAATGTTAACCAGGTTCAGTGTCAGTGACAGAAGCTGTCCTGAGATGGGGAGCAGAGCCTGAGCTGCCACACCTGCTGCCTGCGCCAGTGCCATGGAATCATGGAATTCAGCTTGGAAAAGCCCTCTAAGATCAAGTGCAACCATCAACCCAGCACTGCCAGGCCCACCACTAAACCATGTCCACGCGTTTTTGGACACTTCCAGGGATGGGGCCTCCACCAATGCCCTGGGCAGCACCTTCCAATGCCTTAATACCCTTAAAAAAAAAATAATTCTTAATATCCAATCTAAAGCCAGCCTGGAGCACCTCGAGGCCATTTCCTTGTGTCCTGTCATTTGTCACCTCGGACAAGACTGAGCCCCCCGGCTGTCCCCTCCTGGCGGGGACTTGTGCAGAGCCACAAGGGCCCCCTGAGCCTCCTTTGCTCCAGGCTGAGCCCCTTTCCCAGCTCCCTCAGCCCCTCCTGGTGCTCCAGACCCTTCCCAGCTCCGTTCCCTGCCCTGGACACGCTCCAGCCCCTCAAGGTCCTTCTTGTCAGGAGGGTGCCAGAACAGCTCCCAGGATCTGAGATGCCTCAGCAGTGCCAGCACAGGGGACAGTCCCTACCCTGCTGGTCCTGCTGGCCACACCATTCCCGACACGAGCCAGGACATCCTGGCAATCCCTGACAATCCAGGGGCATTCCTGGCCCCTGGGCACACTCTGGCTCCTCTTCCTGCCTGGCACAGGGACCATCAGCCTCCTCCTGCCCTGGGGGAGCAGCGGCACAGCGGGCACAGCTCTGGCTGCGGGTCCCAGTGAGGTGACAGCCTGGGCTGGATCCATCCCCAAATTCCTGGGCTGGATCCAGCCTTCCATCCCTGAATTCCTGACCCCCCGGGGTTGGATCCCTCCTTCCATCCCCACATTCCTGCCCCTGGGCTGGATCCATCCCCGTATTCCTCACCCCCCAGGCTGGATCCAGCCTTCCATCCCCAAATTCCTCATCCCCCGGGCTGGATCCAGCCTTCCATCCTTAAATTCCTCACCCCCCATCCCCGCCCCGGGCTGGATCCAGCCTTCCATCCCCTCATTCCTGCCCCCAGAGCAGCGAGGATCCCCCAGTTGTGGCTGACTCAGCGGCTGGGAATCCTCAGTGGTGGGAGGGTGAAGGGATGAGCTGGGGATTGCTCTGATCTCCTGCAGCCCCCGGGGCTGGGAGAGCCGTGCCCCAGGGAGAGCTGGCACAGGGAAGGCCGGGAGGCTCCCCAGGGGCTGTGCATGGCAGCTGCAAAGGGAATTTGGCTCCCATCTCCTGGGGGAAGGAGAGAGTTTTTCCCACCTTCAGGCATCCACCCCTTTGTGATGCCCTGGCAGAGCCAGGGTGACCTGGCTGGGTCCTTCCTGGGAAGCAGGAGCCCCTTCTCCCTGTCACCAAGGACTTCCTGGTGACTTCCCAGCTTCAATCAGAGAATCACAGGTTGGTTTGGGTGGGAAGGGACCTTAAAGATCACCTTGTTCCAACCCTGCACACCTTCACCAGATGAGGCTGCTCCAAGGCTGGTCCAGCCTGGCCTGGGACCTTCTCCATCCTCGTTACACCCATCAGTCTCCCCCTCCCCTGGCCTGGAGGAAGGGATACTCTGGAGTTTGTTTCCAGGGACACAGGGCTCACACACTGCCCACCCAGGTTTTCCTGCACACAGCCCAGCCCTGGCACCCTCTGGGTTTCTCACAAACCACGGCAGGGCTGGAGGGGTCACCCAGGGACATCTTTTGTGACCCTTGGATATGAACAGGAGTGTCTGCCTGGGCTGAAGATGAACTGGGAGATGGGCAAGCTCCCATTCCCTGCCTCTGGCTCAGCTGAGCAGGGGCACAGACCCCAGTGGGTGACATGGGACACCAGGAGCACGTTCTTTGGAGTCAGACTGCTCCTGCTGCACCTGCCCCATGTCTGAGCCCCTGGGCCCTGTTCAAGGCACCAACTTTGCCCTTTTCCCACCAGGATGAGCTGGTGGCAGCACCAGGAGCTGGGCAGTGACAGCCTGGCTCACACTGGGGCACTCCCACGGCAGAGCTGGGCTGGGCTTTGCACAGAGACAGAGAAACTGAGCCCTGAGCTCACGTGTTTGCTCCTTCTCAGCTTCCCAGGGCACGGACTGGAGCTGGAAAAGACCTCTGAGATCACTCAGTGCCACTTTTGACTGACCCCCGAATTTTCAGCCAGCCCAGAGTGCCACATCCAGGCGCTCCTTGGACAGGTCCAGGGATGGCTCCCCTTCCAATCCCTGTCCATGGAGAGGTGTTCCCCTGCTGCCAGTGCATCCCACTGCTGCCTCCTCCGTTCCCCTGGAAGAGCGTGGATGCTCTCAGGAGCTCCAAGCAGCCCCTCCATGCAGATGTTCCCTCAGCAGACCCTTGGCAATGTTCAGGGCAACAGCAAAGTGCCAGGCTCAGATCCAGGAAAACTCTTTTCTCCTGGAGCAGCCTTTCCTTTCTCAGTGTTTTCCTGGGTTCAGAACCAGGGGATGGCAGTGAGGTGGCAGGGACAGGGGTTGGGTGGGCAGCAACCTCCAGCCCATCCCTCACCTCACCTGGGACAGAGACTTTTCCCTTCCTGAGTTTGTATCAGCAGCACAATGAATTCAGGTAAGGATTATTTGTACACATCCTTGTACAAAAAGAGGGAAGCCTGGATGAGGGGGACCAGCAGCCAAGGAAGAGGCAAGAAATCCCCTTTTCCCATGGGGTTAATCTGACCCAAACTGAGCTGGGAACATTTATGGACAGGACAAGCCCTCCCGCGCGCTGTCCCAGGGGAGCACAGCACGGAGCCCACCGGGAGCTCAGCAGTGCCCCTGCTTTGGAGCAGGACTGCCATGTGGGCAGCAGGGACAGCCCCATGGACCTTTCCTTCCCCCATCCTCCCTGCCCCGGCCCTGGGAACCGATAGTAAAGCAGGAAGGCTCTCTACCCCGTATTTACACTGGCGGGATTTGACTCCGTACTGGAAGCGGCACTGCTCGTCGGCATCGTAGGCCTGGCCCGGGGCCACCGTGGGGTAGATGAAATCCTGCTTGGGAGGAGCGTTGTTCAGGCACAATCCCATCCCGGAGCTGGAACCAGACAGGGAGAATCAGAGCTCAGAAAGGCTGAGGGCAGAGAGAGGTGGGGGATCAGCAGCTGCCACTCCCGGCTCGGCTGAAGCTGAGCTTGGCTGCCTTGAGGGGACAAATCTGGGTCTGCTCTGAGCAAGAGAAAATGCTCTGAAATGCTTCCAGCTGTGTGCCCCAGGCTGGGAAACACACCCTGGTTCCAAGGGAACTCTGCAAGTGTTGATGAGGGTTCATAGAATCCCGGAACATCCTGAGCTGGATCCCTCAGGGATGATCAGTGCAGCCCCTGGCCCTGGCCAGACCCCCCAACAAGCCCACCCTGAGCATCCCTGAGAGCGCTGTCCAAACGCTCCTGGAGCTCTGGCAGCCTTGGGGCCGGGCCCATTCCCTGGGGAGCCTGGGCAGTGCCAGCAGCCTCGGGGGGAAGAACCTTGCCCTGAGATCCATCCCAAGCCCTGGCACAGCTCCAGCTGTTCTGCGGGCTGTTGCCAGCGGCTGTCCCGTGGCAGAGTGGAGGAAGATGTGCCCAGAACCCTCAGGTGGGCAGAGGAGCTGCTCCTGCCCCCCAGCCATGAAACCTCAGCTGAAAGCAACCAGAGCCCCCCTCTCCAAACCCAAGCTCTGCTTGCCAGAGCTTCGTAGGAGCATCCAAATTCAGCCAGAAACTCCTTTCCCTCCCCTTTCCTGGCTGCTCTCTGAGCTCTCCCTAAATCAAGGCTGCTGTCATCACCCCCAGCCCCAAATCCTGCACGCTCCATGTCCCACTGGAGGCTCCTGGAGGCTCTGGCATGGCCAGCACGGAGCACGAGGAGCGGGGATGAACTCTCCATCCTCCTCCAAAGCTGCCAGGAGCTCGGGGTCAGCAGAGGCCGAGGCAGCCTGGCCGTGCCTCGAGCCTCACTGCCTGCACGGGGTCACCAGCGTGGGGACAGGCCCAGCCACAGCTGCCAGCTGTGGGATTTGCTGCTGAGCCACGAGGTTTGGCCAGGCCTGGCAGGACAGAGGGAGCCCCTGGGGGAGAGCCTGGCTGCTCCTCTCGCTGCATTCCAGGAGCTGAGCTCTGCTCTCCAGACTCCCTGGGGGCTTCCCCCCACACTGACCCCATGCTTGTGCTGCTCCCAGTCTGTCCTCCAGCCCTGCCCATTCCTTCCTTCAGCAAGTGCTGCTGTCCTACAAAAACCCCAGCAAAATGGATCCAAACTGATTCCTTTGGGATAGAAACCCAGGGGCTGCCTGAACCCTGCACAAGGGATTGACTCTGGCATGGTGACAGCCTCGAAACTCTGGGATTTAGGAGCCTGAAGCATGGTTTGGGTTGGGAGGGACCTTAAAACTTGTCTCATTCCACCCCCCTGCCATGGCAGGGACACCTTCTGCCATCCCAGGCTGCTCCAAGCCCCGTCCAGCCTGGCCTTGGGCACTGCCAGGGATCCAGGGGCAGCCCCAGCTGCTCTGGGCACCCTGTGCCAGGGCCTGCCCACCCTCACAACAAAGAAATTCCTCCTAATATCCAATCCAAACTGCTCTCTTTTAGTTTGCATCCACGCCCCCTTGTCTTGTCCCTTCTCCTGAATCCTAAAGGTGCTTTTTTAAAGGAAAGAAAACCAAATTCTTTGCCCTGCTTTGCTCATTCACTCTGAAAACTCATCCTCACTGCCTGGTGAAAGTGTCTGCCCCACACAGACCCAATCCTGTCCCAGACCCTCCTTCCCCACCACACCAACCCTTCTCTGCAGTTCCTGGCTGGACTTCAGAACCAGCCAAATTCCCCCAGCGGGGACTGATCTATTTGTGATGTTCCTGGAGATGGGGAACCCAAATAAAGCTCTCCCAGCCACAACATAAATGGGTTTAGACATTCAACAGGCAGGAAAACCACGGGGAAGGGCTAAAGGAAGGAGAGAATGTGACTCTGGGGACAGGATGAGGTGCTGGGAGACAAGACAGGAGGTGCTGGGGGATTTGGGGGCTTTGCTTTGGCTTTCCCCCCTCCTCAGAAGAAACTGGGGGAGTCTGGAAGAAGGGCAGGGAGGGGTGTGTTCCTTACTCCAGGAAGCTGGTGATGTAATCCCTGCTGCAGGTGGACCACACGAACGGGTTGGTTTTCATGGTGATGTGAGCAGCCATCAGCTTGGCCGTCTCCTGTCCCCGCGAGCCGCAGCTGTTGCCAACCCCGTCGTGGTTCATGCCAAACCTGGAAACCCCCACGGCACAGAGCGGGATCAGCCGGGCTCTGGCACACCTGGAGCGCCCAGGGAAGGGATTCCAGGCGCTGAAGGAGGCAGCAGGAGCACCAGGGGTGCCGCACTCACGTGTGGCCGATCTCGTGGGCGATGGTGAAGGCCGTGGCCAGCCCGATGTCCTCGTTGATGCTGCAGCTCCGCTCCCGCTCGCACATCCCACCCACGGGGGCCAGGCCTGGAGAGGGGACACAGCTGTCACACAGGGTGGCTGAGGGGACGTGGGGGTGTCTGGGGACTGCCTGAGGTGCTTCAGTAACACAGCCAGCTCCTTCTCACCACTGGGCTTTGGGGTGGGCTCTAACGGGGCATGGCCACTCAGCACTGATGGTAAATTAACACTGACAGGCTCAGAAATGCTAAGGAAGGATCAAAATCCTCTGAATTTCGTATCCCAATGGTGCAAAGGGGAGCAGACCTTGGCACAGCCCTGGTGGGGGAATCTCTGATGGGCTGCACCAGCTCTGGGGCATCCAAACATGGCCAGGGAGAGCTGAGCAAGCCAGGATCCAGCCTTGGCTCTGCCTGGCACCTCCCAGGAACCCAGCACGGCTCATCTGGAGGACTGGATGATGCTGAAATTGCCCCTGAATTTTGACAGCAAATTCCTCCTGCCCACCCCAGCAGCACAAACTGTGCCACTGCCCCGGGCAGGGTCTGGCTGTGCCAGTGGAACGATTTGAGCCATCGCAGCACCTCCAGCCTCCCTCCCAGGCTCCTCAGAGATGCACCAGCTCCCACCAGGGCTGGGCAGAAATCCCTCCCTGCCTGCTCAGTCTAGAGCTGGGTGAGACAAAGGAGGAGCAGCAGCCAGAGAGGGCTGCAGGGTCCGGCTGTGTCTCACAGTGTCAATAAAGAACTCCCTTTACAGCCACCACAAAACAGCTGAATTTCCCCCTGCTCAGCCAGAAATGCTCCAGCAGGCCACGGACAAGCCCTAAATGTGAGTGGTTCTGGATCCTCAGGCTGGAGCCGGCCCAGGGATGGAACAGAGGAGAGTTCCGGGCCCAGCCGACCTCAGGGTGCTGGTTTAGTGTTCACAGAAGGCACGAGGGGCTGGAAACCACTGGTCTGGTCCTGGTCCTGCTGCTGGTGCTGGGGCAGGACTTCACCTTCACTGGGAAGGGGAATGGCACAGGTGGGAAAGGATGGAACAGCTCAAAAGGGGATGGCACAGCTCAAAAGGGGATGGCACAGTGGGAAAGGATGGAACAGGTGGGAAAGGGATGGCAGAGCTGGAAAAGGGATGACACAGCCCACCCTCATCACATTCCCGAAGCTCTGTGTGCTGCTGGGAGCTGCTGGGGTGAATTCTACTCACCCAGGGTGCCACAGGGCTTGTTCTTGTAGATGCAGATGTCGTACCTGGGAGGGAGAGAAGGCAGCGTTAAGGACGCTTCTGATTTTGGGTGTTGTCATTTCACCTGTGTGTTCACATCCAAACCACTCCAAACCAGCCCAGGGAACATTTCTGGCGTGGGCAGTGCCCGAGGTGACAGGGAGGACAGCACTCACTTTGTCCAGGCTGAGATTCACTCAGGGTTTAATGACATCTCCTGTCCTTTCACTGTGGGGCAGAGCTGAGCCAGGCCCGAGGTTTGGTTTTGATGGAATGTGGTGGTAGAGCATGAGAGGGAAGGGAACGGAGCTGGGAAGGGTCTGGAGCACCAGGAGGGGCTGAGGGAGCTGGGAAAGGGGCTCAGCCTGGAGAAAAGGAGGCTCAGGGCGCCCTTCTGGCTCTGCACAAGTCCCTGCCAGGAGGGGACAGCCGGGGGGGTTGGGCTCTGCTCCCAGGGAACAGGGACAGGAGGAGAGGGAACGGCCTCAGGCTGGGCCAGGGGAGGTTTAGATTGGATTTTAAGGGAAATTTCTTCAGGGAAAGGATTATCAGGTATCAGAGCAAGGTGCCCAGGGCAGTGCTGGAATCGCCACTCCTGGAGATGTTAAAAACATGAGCAGATGTGGCACTTCAGGATGTGGTTTAGTGGGCAAGGGGATTCGGTCAAAGGTTGGACTTGATGATCTTGGAGGCCTATTCCAACCTCAATGATTCCATAAATCAGCAGGGACAAGGTTATTCCAGAGCTGGAGTTCTTTGGGTTTGGGTGGGTCCAGCTCTGCTCCCCAGCACTCCTGGGAGGCACCGGGCACAGGGGGAAGAGGACAGGGCCAAGCTCTGCCCTGTAAGCTCAGGCCTCTTGCAGGAAATTGTATCAATCAAACAGAGAAACACAGAATCCAGCATGGTTTGGGTTGGAAAAGACTTTAAAAATCATCTCATTCCACCCCCTGCTATTCCTTCCACCGTCCCAGGGTGTTCCAAGCCACATCCAGCCTGGCCTCGGACACAGCCAGGGATGGGGCATATGAAATTCTGATTAAAAACAAAACAAAGATAAAGAAAACATTTCAGTTTGAAAACATGTTCCATTTCAAACCCCACTGTGGCTTCATGAAAACGCTCCAGTGATTTATTTTTTTTTGTATCTATTTTGGTTTTTTTTTCAGTTCAGTTCTTTACTGAGAATTTTCCAAACAAATTCAATCTGGGTTGATTCAAGGTGACTCTTCCCTCTGTTCCTGGCCTCGACTTCCAGCCATTGCATGAAGGAATCCACTGTTTGCACGCTGGGTACAAGGAAAGGTGAAACAAGGAGAGCAAAAACCTCCTCCAGATGGAAACGCAGCATCCTCAAAGTGGGGAGAGGTGGCAGCTCCAAATGAGACCAGTTTGGGTCAGAGAGGGAATATTCTCATTTCCCTTCAGGGATAACATTTGGGGTTTGCAAATCTGGGCTGAGAGGGGCCAGGCTGAGAGCTGGGAATGGTGGGGTCAGCTGGGGGACTGGGGCAGCTGGGCTGGGCCACCCCAGAGCCAGGTTGGGGTGCACCAAGGATTGTGACCCCAGAGCGGGTTTGGGGACACCCATGGGGTGAGGATTGAGGATTGTGACCCCAGAGTGAGTTTGGGGACACTCATGGGGTGAGGATTGAAGACTGTGACCCCAGAGTGAATCTGGGGACACCCATGGGGTGAGGATTGCGGATTGTGACCCCATGGGGTGAGGATTGTGACCCCAGAGTGGGTTTGGGGACACCCATGGGGTGAGGATTGTGACCCCAGAGTGAATATGGGGACACCCATGGGGTGAGGATTGTGACCCCAGAGTGAATTTGGGGATACCCATGGGGTGAGGATTGAGGATTGTGACCCCAGAGCGAATTTGGGGACACCAGACAGGACCCTCCAGCACCACTCACCCCACTGACCCCTCGGGGATGAAGGTGGGGGTGAGAAGAGGCAGCACACGAGGGGTTAAAGTGCGACACATTCCCGGGGACGGCTCCTGCCCCTTTGGTCCCTGGCACTCCTTGAAGTGCCCAAAGCTCTCCCCTCCTCTCGGCAGGAAACCGAGGAGTGCAAAACATTTGTTGCTTTGTTTTGAGCGAATGCCTTTAAAGCCTTCGGAGGCTCTGCTCTGACACGTCCCGGCAGGAGAAAAAAGTCCCGAGATCAGCAAGATCTTATCGGGACACCGGGAATTTCTCGGGGCCGGATGCTCCGGGCGCTGTCCAGGATCAGCGAGCGGCCCCGGGCTGGATCAAACATCTGGAGGGAGGAGGAGAGCTCGGAGCCGGGGTTTGCATCCCACACGTGTGGAGGGAGGGCAGGAAAGAGCTGCAGCCCCCTCGGGAGTGGGAAAAGCCGGGGCTGAGCGGCCCTTTTGTCGCTCCTCTGAGGGGTCTCGCCCATGGGATGTCCCCGGCTCCTGCTGGAACTGGAGCAGGAGAGCAGTACATGGATAAAGGAAACAGCTCCCACTTGGAGGTTCCGGTCTCCAGCACTTTCATTTCCTGACTTCCTTCTGCAGGAGAGGGGGCAAAGGCACAAAATAAAGGTGGGTTTGGCCACTGCCCAAGCAGGGGTTTGTGGGCACTGGAGGGACAATCCTGGACACAGTCAGCAGCACTTGGGGAGCTCAGCACTCTCTGTGCCCTCCATCCCTCCAGCATCCTGCGGCCTGCCATTCCTTCCACTGTGCCTGTCATCCTCTCTGTGTCCTCCATCCATCCATCATCCGTCCATCCATCCATCATCCATCCATCATCCATCCATCATCCATCCATCATCCATCCATCATCCATCATCCATCCATCCATCCATCCATCCATCATCCATCCATCCATCCATCATCCATCCATCCATCATCCATCCATCCATCCATCATCCATCCATCCATCCATCATCCATCCATCCATCCATCCATCCTCCATCCATCATCCATCCATCCATCATCCATCCATCGTCCATCCATCATCCATCCATCCATCCATCCATCCATCATCCATCCATCCATCCATCCATCCATCCATCCATCATCCATCCATCCATCATCCATCCATCATCCATCCATCCATCCATCCATCCATCCATCCATCATCCATCCATCCATCCATCATCCATCCATCCATCCATCCATCCTCCATCCATCATCCATCCATCCATCCATCATCCATCCATCCATCCATCATCCATCCATCCATCCATCATCCATCCATCCATCATCCATCCATCATCCATCCATCCATCCTCCATCCATCATCCATCCATCCATCATCCATCCATCGTCCATCCATCCATCATCCATCCATCATCCATCCATCATCCATCATCCATCCATCCATCCATCCATCCATCATCCATCCATCCATCCATCATCCATCCATCCATCCATCCATCCATCCATCCATCATCCATCCATCCATCC